CTAGTCTCATCGATTACTCAAAATTCCACTCATACACAGGAATGGAAAGAGATTGATACTTATACTGATATCGAGCTGGAAGAGCACTAGATAGAGACTATAGAGTCCCATCCCCGCTTCAACCAAGAGATAGGGAGACAACATCGTAGCATGAAATGAGCCAATGCCAAGTGCTCTCTTTGTTAACGGATTGAAGTTTTGAATTCCTTTAATTTGTTGATCTCTATGTCTTTGGTTTTTGGTTGTTGTTAGAGTTGCGTAGGTATTAGTAACATAGTGATTAATAATATATGGCTTAATTATGTAGGGTTTAGTTATTTTATTTTTTACTTTGTATGAAATATATATCATCATCATCATAATCATAATCATCATTATATTAAAAGTGGAAAGCAAAAATAAAAAGTTAAATTACTAAAATGTCCTTATAAAGTCATAATATTTATGGATAAAAATGTAGATAATTAAAATAAATACTATCATATTTTATTAAACACTATTATTATATATTTATGAAAAAATATAAAAATTACGTGAAAATTTTACCTTTTAACCAAATAAATAACATATATTAATAATTAATAAATATAAAATTAATTTCATTGAAATGCCAATAATTATAGTAGGTTACACCTTTTCAGTTTTCCATAATTAAAATAGTATTATTTAGAATATCACTTGTCCCTAATCCAACTATTATTGATTTGGTCCTATAAGCTTCTATCATTACAAGAAAAATATTTATGGCATAGTCTTTACTCATAATTTATTACTATTTCACTAAATAAAAGTAGATATCAAAGTGTCAAAACATTCTTATTTTGTTTCGAACAGTGTTCAATTTCAACTTCAAGATCCGGGTAAATTTACTCTTTTTTTTCCATTTTAAAGAAGCTCTTTTCTGATGCCTAATACACTGTGTAGACTTTTCAATTGATTTATTTTTACTTTATTGTTAATCAATTGTTCTAATACTGTAAATTATCACGTGTGGTCCAAAGATGTTTTCATGTGCATGTCTCTTACTGTCGTGATTTTATTACAGTTATTCTCTTCTTTTTCATTTACGACATATACTTTTTTGTCTTTGTAAGTAATTAAATATAAATTGATCTACAAAAACTAAAAAAAGTTTACAAGATGAAACTAAAGAAAGAATACAACATGTACTTTGGTCAAGATGAAACTAAAGAAAGAATTGAACATGTATTTTGGTTGGTGGAACCATGATTAACTAAGGGTCAAATTCAAAAATATATTAAGAAAATACAATAATTTATATATTATGCAAATATTATTATTTTGGAATCTAATAAATTATGCTTTCTTTCATTAACTGTGCAAATGTATATTTTAATATACATAAATGTGACCAATTTTTTTGAACTTTTTCAATTGGAGTAAACCTTTTGCAGATCAAAGGTATTGAGATTTTGAAAATTTCATATGACATTTATTAGACTAATATTTTCAAGTTATAGCAGTATAATAAAATTTTCAAGTTGTAACAATAAAAAATTTCAGGTTATAACATTTTATTAAAAAAAAATATTTTTTTAATTAATTGTAAAAATCTGTTTTGAAAAAAAAAAAGATAAAAAAGGAAAATAAATCGATTTTGAAGAAAAAAATAAAAAAAACGAAAATAGGTGTATTAATTAAATTTTAATTGATTGATGATAATTATTAATTAGCATAAATTTAGGAGATTCAAACTAATTAGGAATATTTGTTTTCCTTAATTCACTCTAATCTGTTAAAATTAATTAAAAAGTCTTAATTTATCCATTTTCTTCAACGTTTCTCTCTCTGCGTTTTTTCCCTAGAATTGTTGTCACTATTTTACATTGGCATAATTGTTTATACAAGGTATTTATACATGTTGGATACCAACTTCATTCATTTTTTATTTTTTTATTTTATTGTATTAGAATATGAATTTGAATGCCAAAGGTGTATAGTTTGGATCCCAATTATAAGTCAGAGTTAGTTCATGAACTCTAAATTAGTAGTATGATTTCTTTAAAGTTAATAAGACATTGTAAAATCATAAACTCTAAATGTTGAATCCAATTTGTATGCATTTTGTATATAACTGTTATCCCGAGAATTATTATAGTCAATGTGTAATTTATCTTTAGAATGGTGTATCCATTTGGAATGCAGTCTGTATATAACTAGTATCCTGCGATTACAATAGTCAATCTGTAATTCATATGTAGTTGATATCTTTTTGGAATAAAACAATGGATATTATATATATCAACTACTTAAAGCTGTAACAAACACAAAAATATCATCCAAAAATTAAAAAAAAACTTGTAATTCTAAAAAGTCTAAGGTGCAATCAACTATCTCAAATTTGATCTCCGTGGTCTTGGTGTGGGATAATTGCTGGTATCCAAAGCATGTTCTTTTGCTATGCGAAGTCCACCAAATTTGCTAGCAACAGTGCCATTTACTTCACTATCACTAGTCGCGCCATCATCATTCTTTGTTTTTCCATAATGCCATATGATTGTGGCATACCTATGACGATGGTACTTTGCATCGATATCAACAAAACACATATCAAAAACTCCATTACTGATGTATTCAGCAAATAGACATGTGTACAAACCACAATCACTGGAAAAAAATTGAAAGAACAATCATTTTATACCATTATCATACCAATGTTAAAAATTTAAATACATTAATGAATAAATTGAAAAAGAAACCTTCCTATTAGAAAAATCCCAATTTCATATCAATTTTAGTCATAATTCATACAAAATAGAGTAATTTAACAATTCATACCATTGGGCTGTTGATATCAAACCAATTTCATATCAATGTCAAAACACAATTCATACCATTTACATACTAATATTATATCACATTTCATATAATATCCCAAAATCATATATTAAAGTAAGATTCATACAAATATTATTCACATTTCATACAAGTTTCACCCAAACAAAAGTTTCGAAACAACAATAAGCATAATGTGATATTTTTAGCAAAAAATTACTAATTTGAATAATGTGAAAATAAATTAAATATAATACTTACTCTAACAACTTTTTTGCCTTTTTTGGATATTGAAATTTCTGATTCCTTCTTTTTTGTTGTTCCTCTTGTTGATGGTTTTGAAGATTGAGCAACTTCTAGATTTGTTGCTTTTTTTTTTTCTTTTTTATTTCACTAACAAAATCAGAATTCGAATCAAAAGGAGTTTCTACAATTTTCCTTTTCCTCTTCTTTCCCTTTTGATTTGCCGGACTCACCCTTTTCTTTGCTTCATTTTTTTTCTCCTTTTGATCCTTCGACTGAGAGGAACCACACTTTGCAGGAATTTCAACATTCTTCGTGTGTAGATCTCATCCCACCATTAAATCATATAAATGTGGAAGAGTTCTACTGATTTTCTTTTTGAATGAAGAAGACGAACGTTGAAGATGGTGAGAGAGAAAAAATTAGTTCTCTGTAAAAGAGAAACGTGGGGTGGGGGTGTGGGGTTTGTGTGTGGGTAAAAGAGGAAGGTGGGGGTTGCTGTGTGAAATCTGGAAAAAAAATTCCTAAAACGGTGTAAGAGATAATGACAATTGATTCTCTAATATTAATGTTATTTCTCTTACTTATTAATTATAATGTAATTATAAAAATAATAACTAATTAATTAAATAAAATAAATTAAATTATAAATTAAAACTAATCTGTTAATACTTGTAATTAAACTGTTATATGTTGCGAGTATTCTTGTTAAATGAGTCACGAGGATACAGTATGCTATAATTTTTTGCCGTTATTAATTAATCTACCCAAGTATGATTTTGGTTTATATTCTCTTGATATAATTCAAATGCCTATTTGGGGCATAAAACCATCAAAAGACACTTTGTAAGTAGGTGATCTCTTTGTAAAAGTTTCTACCTATTCTTGCCAAGGCTGTTTAAATTATTTATAGTGAGTACTCTGCTTTGGAATGCTTAGCACATTTAGTAGATTTGTGGAGCAAATTTACATGTGATTTGCGTAATTTCGTTTATAGATTTAAGAATATGTTTGTTTGTTTGTTTGTTTGCTCTAGAGGTTTCTTGTTCCTTCGTCCCTTATAATATTTTACTTATTAATAAATAAGATAGGGATCTATGTCACAACGGAAGGTGGGAGCCCTGTTGTTGGATTGGTAAAAAAAGAAGTTATTCACATTGTGTTAATTGCACCAGCCCAAAAAGTTATTTAAATACCTAAATTTCAAGGAGTGATTAGGAGGCAGAACTCCATTAAAGCATATGTGTATCTTTTTTTGCCATATACACTCCAAGCCCCAACTATGTCTCTAACTACTTAACATTGGAGTAGAAGGTGTCATATTATCTTCTGCATCTTTTTGATACATAACATTTGTGGTGTTACGGATCCTCTTCTATTCAGGTAGTCCAATGTCTTTCTAGAATGGCTGCCAACTAAAGCAAGCAACAACGGATAGTATCTTAATTCATATTATTTTCTATCTGGTGTCCGGTACCTGCATTGATGCATGCCCGTCTAGTCTGGAAATTTCCATTTTACTCATTAAGTTTTCCGTCTTCATCAGTGACAAGTAGCATTTTTTACTACAAGTCTCTTGATTCTCCATCAGTTCCTTTCTCCTTTGTCTTGAAAAAAGTTAGTGTAGAAGTGCACATTTATATATGAACTATGAAGTGAAAGGCTTAAGCGAATTGGTTGATAAATAGAAGCAGAAAGACAATGACAACAATTAGACAACTTGAAGTATACAACTCAATATGAGAATTGAATGAAAAATCTTGAAATAGTTGAATGGAATTTGGCATTTGTTGTGTTTTAAATAAACAAAGACAACATTTATTCTTTGCTTTGCCCCTTGCCTATGCCTCACAATATCTGGTATCATATATATCATAATATTATTTACGGATCATAATGATTTTCACTTTAACTATGAGTTATAAATTACTATGATATATCTATTTCTTCCATGCATAAATTTTCATTGTTTTTAGATCAGTAAACCATAGGTAAACTATGTAGTCCAGCCGTCTGAAATGCCTACAAAATCTCTTTTGGTCGTTGGGGCTCACTAGAGCTCGCCGGTGGTGTTAGCTTCTAAGCTCGTTGTTCCAAGACGCTACCCTCAAAAAGGTAATCACCTCTCTTCTTATTTTTCTTTCTCTATTTATTGCTTTATATGCTTAGTCGATTTAATCTAGGTTCTTGCATTGTAGTTTTCATTTCTTTTTTATCTTAGGTTGAATCTTCTACTGTTTCATGAATTCTTATTTAATCTATGTTTCAAGATATTGAGTCAATGCCCTGATTTTTGCTCGAAGATGTTTATATTTTAGATCTCGAGGAAGTATTGCATCTTTTCACACTGTAAATGTGGAAAGGGAAAACAAAGCTTTTAATACTAGGGGCATAAGACAAGTACTTAAGAGAAAGAAAAGAACGGAGATAACATATGAAACTTACCTTTGAGGGGATGAGTCAATGGCCTTGCATTACTACTTGAGTTACTGTCAGTTCCTTGAAGTGGATGTAGGCAAAAGAAACTTGTGTTGGCTTAAGCATTGCTTTCAATCCTTAGAGTTCGTAAGCCTTAGCGACCACATATTTTTCCTTCAACTTTTGACTTTGCTGTTTATCGGTTTGGTTAAAGCCTAAAGGTACCATCTCATAAAAAAAGCTTAGAATAGCATTTAATCTCTTTTTCATAGGTAATAGTAATCTTGATTGGGAGCGAGAATTAGGCAATTAACTAATATATACTATCTTCTTCAAAATTGTATCACCTAACTGTGCTTTATGAGGATTCATCTAGATGATCATCTAGCATAGGATATTGATTAATTTATTTTTTGAAGTTAAACATTACAGATTTAGAAACCACACTAAAGATAATACGTTACCCAATTTCTGAATTTTAAAAAGATCAAGAACACAACTTAAAAAGAATTTTGTGTTTCGAGGACATAATCCTACCAGTGTAGGGACACATGTAGCCTTCACTTTTTAATGAGTTAGGTTCAGCAAACCTATCCACTATGTAACCAAGTTAAGGACAACTTGAAAGTAGATGATTAGCAGAAGAGCATGTTCAAAATTGTCAACACAGTATGTCCTTTATGATAAGAGTTCTAGCATGATAGTCGCAACTCAATATGCATTTCTAAAGTCTTACGATTCTTACTGACGAAAAAAAATAATAAAATAGTTAAGCACTTATGGAGGTATGTAAATAACTTATGATGATACAATAGCTTCAAAAGTACGTTTGAAAAAGTCAGAGTTACATTTTTCTTTTAGATTTATTCTATAGCTAGGCTGGCAGGAAGTTTTTGAAGCTATGGCAAATAGTGTATTATTCAGTTACTTACTTATTTGAATCCAAATTATGGTCAATGTCTTGACTCACTGGTAAAGAAGCTTTCTGGAAATAACTTAATCTTACTTTCAAATCAAATGCCTAATAGTAACAAGTACTTTATAAATGTCTTGTAGTATCGATTTACGAGAGAATTTTGTATTATTTTTGTATTCTAGCAAAGTAGTTGAACCTTCCTTGAGTTTAAAATTAGATTCTTCCCTGAGTTTATAAAAGTGCTTTCTTTATCAAAATGTACATTCTAAATTTCTTTTGACATTATAGCACTACTATAGTCCTTAAGCCGAGGTCTATAATAAGTTATAAAGGGGCGTTCCTTCTCCTTTCCTCATCCATTAAACTGGTAGGAAAGTGAATTATGCAGACGAAAATTCTGAAAGGCATTTTTGAGGTCATGATGATAATGATGACGAGGACAACAACAACAAAGGACAGGTAGTAGTAGTACCGCAAATTTCTCTTACTTTCCAAGGAAAACACTCATTTTGATGCATTTTCCTCATGCCTGTACTGTTGTACCATCTTTGATACATTAATAAATATCAATGAATTAATAAATGTGTGCAAAATAAACATAGTAACTTAATACTTTTTCAACATTTCAAGTAAGGCATATTAAATACGAAATGAAGCAGCGGCTAGCACGCTAAGCTAAGATCACGTGGGCCATTTTTGAGTAAAATTTGAAGGCCAGAAGTGTTGTTGGATCTTAATACCGATATGATTAATGGATCGGTATTTTCTCCAAATCCAATCATTTTTTTTGGCATTGAATTCTTGAATATCAGGACATGGAGGATGGTGATTGAGCCTGAAAATAGATTCACTCTTAAAGTGTTAGTTTAATCATGTTCAAATAAGTGCCATATCTTGCCTAGATCCTATCTCGTGTTGCCCCATGACAAGGCTCATGTCCTCGTCAATTAACCCTTAGCTCTCACGATGGACTCACATTGTGAGGGAGGTTTGAGAGAGATATCATGTTTTAGTTCTTTTCAGTTCACTCATCTTGCCATCAAAATAATTCAATTACTTCTAAAAAAAAATTCACAACCATATCGATATCTACACAAACAGATCTCATAAAAAGTCATTTTCCTCATATTTGTCATCATGTAAATATGTATTTAAGCCTTGAAAAGTATATTGATTACTCAGAAATTTAATGAAAATTGAAATGTTGGTACTTCAATAGAAATTGTTGAGATTAATGATCTTTTCTACTATCGATCTATCTTGATAAACATGGATTGGTCAATTCATCTATTAATTAGAGACTATACCAAACAATTTTGAGGAAGAACAAAGAGTTCATTTACCATTTCCTCTATCTGAGGGCTGTTGTAAAGCCTAAGCAAATAAAGGGAGGAAGAGGACCAACATTAAATCTGGAAAGGTAATGCTTCGAGACTTGGATATATATTCATGCAATGTGCTACAAAGAAGGTTCTTAATGGTTTCTCTTCAACAGTTTTCCAAAAAATGGACCTTAAAATAGTTTCTCATCAGTAAACGACATGAAACCCGTTAAGAGTCTGTGGAATTTGTGATTTGATCTCTTTGTCCTTTATCTTAGAAATGAGGTACTAAGTGCTTTAGGTTAGTCTGATAAAAAAATAGTTATTAAGTTACTCTATAGTGGCCACAAATTCCTTCTTTTACTGTCTTCTTGAGCTAAGTATTTAAGTATGATGAGAAGGGCCTTTCTAAAGATGAACAATCAGTTTAAAGTGCACACTTTATTGTCTTCACATTAATTCATCTTAACTTTGTGATCTTATTGTAGAGTAATTTTTTTTGTTTAATGGAGCTTATCAAATTTTCTCTCCATCTTATTAATATTATTTTAAAGAGTAAAATGTGGATACTAAACAAGTGTCTAATTAAGATATATCTTCAACTTTTTTTATTTATGAATATTGTAATGGTTTCTTTTCTTATCAGAAAGAATTAACACATCTGGAACTTGAAGTTGGAGGCAGATTTGAAAGAATACAATATCTTCAACATTAAACTATTGGAGTAGATTGCAGTTACTAACTCAAGCAAAAACATGGTTGGAATTGATGTGTAAGATGATACATGTGCCTTAAAAGGAAGGTGAAGTCATCATCCAGTGAAGTGACTGAATATGTGTCAGCTATATCAAGTGCATGTAATACTATCATTATTTTGATTCGGATGGGCGACGTCTAAAACTCTTAAAGAAATTTATCATGAACTGAATGAACAATAAATAATAGAACACCTTAGATATGTATGAAATACAATTTCAGCCTGCATTTTTTGATAGTTTGGAATGAAAGAAATGCGATGTTTAGAAATTGAAGAAAATTCAGTCCAAAAACATGACTCAAATATTTGTGATAGCTTGAAATGTAGGTGAAAGTGTTGATGAGAACATGCTTGCAACTATGTTAGTATTCATGTTTGGTGTTGCAGGTTGGTTGCACCCTGGATGTGTCTTGTAAGTTCTTTATAATTACTAAAACATGGTGTTAAACGATCAAAAGAAATTCTTTAGAAGAAATAAAAAATCAAGTCATCAATCTAAGTTGCGACTATTAATTGTGTATATAATTCAAAACTAATGGAACATGATTAATCTAAGTTGTGACTATTAATTGTGTATATAATTTAAAACTAATGGAACATGATTAGAGCGTGTATTTACCGTATTGAGATGTAAATATTTGTATGTTCCAAGATACATTAGTCTATACTTCAAAGTTCAAACCTGTTATACAAAGTTTTTGTATCTAGAGGATTGTTTCTGGCACAAAAAATATGAAAGTATAATTTTATTTTGGTCATTGGTATATACCTCAAAAAGGATTGTAGTAAAAATGTCAGAATCTAACATGTTGGGCCCGTGCTAAGCACGAACATGACTATCTAGTTTATATTATAATAAAAGGTAAGACGTCACATTAGAATGAAATTGAAATATATCAAAATCAATTTCACAAAATCAGTTGTGTTGTAGCCTATAAGTTGGCCCTACCACCAACAATAACAAATTGATCATTAGGGTGCAAGTCATTTGGGAGCTTCTAATTAAAGTAATGAACTAATTGTGCTACGATTAATAAATACTTTGCAACTTTTAATTGATGAATTGAATTTGTGGGTTCAAGGGTTGAAACATTTGATGTGTATGCTAAGCAAATTTTTAATTCGTGGGCTGCTTTAATGTGGACTATTAATGATTTTTCTGCGTATGAGATATTGTCAAGATGGATGACAGCTACAACAAATTAGCTTGTCTTTATTGTTTGAAAAATACTTAATCATTCACGTTAAAATATGATCGAAAAAAATTCTCAATTGATTGTTATCGTCAATTCTTGCCAATGAATTATGAGTTTAGGAGTATGAAAAATACATTTAAAAAGAATATAGAACGAGTGGCTGTCCACCTCTATCTTTAAAAATTATCCCACAAATTAAATCACTACATTCAAAAAATTCACCACAAAAATATATAAATTTCATCATACATCACAGAGATTCCTTTCATCCCTAATTTTATCACGTTCCATTCATGTGATGATAGCTTCATCCTACAAAAGTATTGTTATTATCCTTTTCTCTAATCATGTAATATAATAGGTTAAATAATATATACAATATAAAATAATAATATATAAACCTAAAATATTTGAAGACATATAGTAAAACATGGATTAGAAGCAATATATTGTATATATTTATTTATTTGAAGTAACAAAAACAATGAAATATTTATTATAGTGACCTTTCCCGTACTATTACAAGTGCATACAAAGAAGAACTTAATCAAAATAACTAAAAAAGAAATTACATTATTATAAAAGGTCAAACGTCATATTATAATTAGATATATATCAAAATCAATTTCCCAAAATCAGTTGTGTTGTAGCCTATAAGTTGAAACTGTCATCAAATGATTGGCCCTAATGTCACGGACTTAGAGTGATGGCTAAGTTTCCGTGTGGCCCTTGACGGTTTACTCACTAATCTTTCAAGATCTTGTAAACTCAAGGAAGCCTTTAGGGCTTGGATTGCTAAGAGAATGTTTAAGGAAAGTTTTGGAGAGAACAAAGAAGGCTTTGTATTGAGCTTTGGAAGATTGCTTACAAACTTGCTTGGTGCCTTTGCAAATAGTGGCACCTCTATTTATACTACTCTCCAAGGACTAAAGTGTAATTAATATTTACATGAGAAGTCCCTCAAATATTTACACTTTGACCCCTATCTAGAGAATTCTACATTTCTCTAAAGTCTTCTTGAAATATCTAAGGTTTTCTAGCCTATTCTAGAAACCTCCATGCCTTCTCCGCTGCAAAAGTTGCCTATGTGGGTGGCGGGACGTCACATGCTCCCCCACCTGATGATGCGACGTCCGCGGCGCATTGTTGCAAGAACTCCCGAATTTGGTCTTTGAACTGCCACAAGTCTTCATATTTCTCCCATGTGGCCTCCTCCGGGGATTGTCCCTTCCAATGTACAAGGAACATGGCGCTGGCTTGTTGGCCCCGCTTCCGTTTGGCTTGATAATCTATGATAGCTTCAATCTCTCGGTCGTGCGAGGCGGTGACAGTAATGGGGGCCCGGCGGGGTTGGTTCCGGCTAGTGTCTTCCTTATCCTCATGGTAAGGCTTGAGGACGCTTGCATGAAACACCGGATGGGTTTTGAAGTGTGGAGGTAACTCCACCTTGTATGAGATCTTGCCTACCTTGGCAACGATCTTGAACGGCCCCCTCATATTTTCGCACTAAGTTTTGATGGACGCCCCTTAGTGCCTTGAACTGTCTTGGATTGAATTTCACCAAGACCATGTCGCCTTCCTTATAGTCCGTGGGACGTCGTCTGCGGTCGGCAAACTTCTTCATCTTGCTTGCTGCCTTGTCCAAGTAGGACTTGGCAGTGTCAAGCTGCTCTTCCCATCCTTTGGCAAGATGGTAAGCTCCCAAACTCTTCCCTTCAAACGCGGCTGGTAAAGAATGTGGAGTCTGGGGCTGTTGGCCCGTCGCCAACTCGAACGGCGTGCGCCCGGTGGACTCGCTCCTTTGCAAATTATATGAAAACTGCGCCATGTCTAGGAGTCTGGCCCAATCCTTCTAATGTGCACTGACATAGTGCCTTAAGTAGCACTCCAGCAGGGCGTTAACACGTTCTGTCTGGCCGTCTGTCTGCGGATGGAAACTGGTGGAGAAGTGAAGTTTAGTGCCAAGTATCTCGAACAGCTCCTTCCAAAAGTTCCCAGTAAAGCGGGGGTCTCTGTCGCTAATGATGTATCTTGGCAGCCCCCAATATTTCACTACGTTCTTGAAGAACAATCGAGCGGCCTCCTTTGCGGTGCATCCGGCTGTGGCGGGTATAAAGGTGGCATACTTCGAGAACCTGTCCACCACGACCATAATAGTTCCATACCCGTCGGACTTAGGTAGTGAAGTGATGAAGTCCATAGTTACGCTCTCCCATGGACGTTCTGCTACGGGTAGTGGTTCCAGCAGTCCTCCCGGATGCCTTTGTTTTACTTTGTCTTGCTGGCACACAAGACAAGTCTGCACGTAGCACTCGATATCGTCCCGCATGCGTGGCCAGAAATAGATGGCTTCGATCAGCGCCCTCGTTCTTCGCTGCCCTGGATGCCCGGCCCACGGTGTGTCGTGGCTTTCTTTGATTATTCGCCGCCTGATGGTCCCGAACTTTGGCACGTAGACCCTACGACCAGTCGTGAGCAAGAGGCCTTCCTCTACCCAAAAGCGCCTAGTCTTGCCCTGGGCGGCTAACTCCATCAGTTTCTTGGCCTCGGGGTCATGTTGCATGCCATCCTTGATTGCATCTTGAATATCACAATGGGCTGTAGTGATGGCAGCTAGTTCGGCCTTCCTGCTTAGCGCATCGGCCACAACATTGCCTCTCCCTGGTTTATACTCCAAGACGTAGTCGAACTCGGCTAGAAAGTCCTGCCATCTAGCTTGTTTTGGGGTAATCTTTTTCTGTGATTGGAAGTAGCTAGTGGCTACGTTGTCTGTCTTGACCACGAACTTGGAACCTAACAAGTAATGTCTCCATGTGCGCAGGCAATGCACTATGGCCGTCATTTCCTTTTCCTGCACCGTATAGCGCCGCTCGGTCTCGTTCAGCTTGCGGCTTTCGAATACTATGGGGTGTCTTTCCTGCATTAAGACTCCCCCAATGGCGAAGTCTGAGGCATCCGTGTGTACTTCGAAGGTCTTGGAGAAGTTGGGCAGCGTCAAGACCGGCTCTTCCGTTATCGCGGCCTTGAGACCTTCGAACGCTTGCTTGCACTCCGCGCTCCATACCCATGGCTTATTTTTCTTTAATAACTCAGTCAGCGGAGCGGCCTTTGCGGAGTAACCCCTTATGAACCTGCGGTAGTAATTCGCAAGTCCGAGAAACGATCGCAGCTCGGTCACGTTAGTAGGCACCTCCCATTCTCGGATTGCCCGTACTTTGGCGTCGTCCATCCGAAGTTCGCCCTGGCTGATGATATGCCCCAAGAAATGCACTTCATGTTGGGCGAACTCGCATTTCTCCCGCTTAATATAAAGCTGGTTTTCTCTTAAGACTTGGAAGACTTTCTTTAAATGCTCTACGTGCTCCTCCAAAGTGTTGCTGTAGATGACGATATCGTCCAAGTACACTACCACGAACTGATCTAGGTAGGGCTGAAAGATCCTGTTCATCAACGTACAGAATGTGGCGGGTGCGTTGGTTAGGCCAAAAGGCATCACCAACCACTCGTATGCTCCATATCTGGTTACGCACGCTGTCTTGGGTTCGTCTCCTTCAGCGATGCGTACTTGGTAGTACCCTTTTCGGAGGTCCACCTTCGTGAAGTACTTGGCCTGTCCAAGTCTGTCAAATAAGTCGGCAATAAGCGGGATAGGGTATTTGTTCTTAATTGTTACCTTATTAAGCGCCCGATAGTCGATGCATAAGGGCAAGGATCCGTCCTTCTTCTTTTGGAATAATACCGGCGTGCCATAAGGTGCCTTAGATGGACGAATGTGACCGACTTCGAGGAGCTCTCTCAACTGTTTCCTTAGCTCCTCTAACTCGGGTGGAGCCATGTGGTAAGGGGCATGTGCAGGTGGTTTAGCTCCAACCTCCAGCTCTATCTTGTGGTCTACCTCGCGCCTTGGAGGTAGGGTCTTTGGCAGCTCGGCCG